GTGAATGAACGACCAGTGCTTGGGCAGCAGAGTTTGATGACCTAATGTTTCCAGAGGAGGAGCCATCAGGACCACATGGTCAACTCTGCAGGTAACAAAGTGGGGTTCAACAGCAGTGAACTGAGAGGGGAGTGGATGGGCAAGGTTATGCAGTTGCAAGTAGCAGGTCTCAATGATGAATCCTCTCTCCAGGTACAATAGAGGGGCATAGTGGCTCAGTGGTTAGCACTGTTGCCTCACCGTGCCAGGGACCCAGGTTCAATCCCAGCCTAAGGTGACTGCGTGGAGTTTACATATTCTCCCCATGTCTGCATAGCTTTGCTCCGGCTGCTCTGTTTTCCTCCCACGGCCCGTAGATGTATAGGTTAACTGGATTGGCCATGGTAAAAATCCCGTGCAGGGATACAGGACTCGAGGTGTGGGGCTGTTTGAAGGGTTGGTGCTTGATGGACTGAATGGCCTGTTTACAGTGTTGGGATTCTGTGCCATTGCTGTGAATTGAATGATTTTATAATATGTGAATGGAAGCAGATCTCAGGATCAACATGAGTTTGGAAGCACTCTGGGAACAGAAGCCCAGTTTGGGCAGTGCACTCATCTTTGTAACTCACCAAGAGGTGTGTGAAATACCTGCAATGTGACTGTGAAAGCTGCAGTCTCATTATCACCCACCCCCACCCCCTAGACTGGTCAGAACAATCCATGCAGCAGTATGGGAGATTGTGTGACTCTTTTCCTTGTTAGTGGGTCATGTTCCTTTAGCAAACTGATTAGCTGGGCTGATTGAATTCTGAATATTAAGCAGCTTGTTAGTTCAAGCATTGTGTTGCCCTCTCTGAACAAGACCTCCTTCAGAGCCCATGGAGCCTATCTGCAAGCAGGAATTTGGCCTCTTGTTAATTAAACACCAACCCTAGCCTGCAGTGAATGGCCTTAGAGAGCACTTTGCACATTCCAGCTTATCACTGCTGAAAGGATTGCATTTTCAATGGCTCCACTTTGTATTCTGAGCTGCTGAATAACCTGTCTGTGCTGATGTGTGCTTAAGTATCTGAAGACTTTAGTCCCCAGGGAGGGAGAGATTGGGGCTGTTTTTGAGCATCACTGATTTTGCCTCTCGTGTAACTGTTTAATCATTTTGGTTTTGCGCGAGGTTTGTGAAGTGACCAGGGCTTGTTAACCCCGTAAGCTTTGGGCACACTGAGGCTGGCAGCTGTCAATATGGAGTTCAGTCCGAGTCACCTTGATCCCATCACTTCAGTTCCAACTTTCTTGTTTTGCACCCCTTCCCGTTCCACAGGTCCTGGTCACCCCTAGCCAAAGTTAAGCCGTTCCTGGCCAAGCTGTTAATTTGCAAAGCGTGAGGATGGAAGCTGGCACTCTCTTTGACCATGCCAGAGCCCTGACTGTAGTGCACCAGGAGCCTTATTATAAGCTTTCCTTCTCACCCTCAGTCAAGATGAATCAAGTCAGTACAGAACAGAGATTGTGTTCTCCAGTTTAGCAGGCAGTGTTGTTGGACGGTGTTGGGAATGTTGTCGGTCACTTCTCAGAGAAAGCAAACCTAGCCCAGTTGTGAGGTGTAGCTGCAGTGGGGAATTTAAAAAGAGCAGCTTGCATTTGTGTACACATTGTTTTGCTGTTGCACATATTTACTGTTTTCTCAGTTCGAGTGAAACAGCCGGAAAGATCAAGGGAGGTAGTAAATCACTTGTTTGAAGAGTTGGATTTTGAGATTATTTTCAGGCAGGGTTTAGAGAGCCAGGAAGTCTGCATTCTCTCTAAGCTCCCCAACTAATGTTGTTTCATTCCCTTTCGGCATTGCTGCCATCTCTAATTGTCCTTGAATTGAGAGGCTTGCTCAGTCGGTTCAGATGGCAGTTAAGAGTCAGCCACATTGCTGTGGGTCTGGAGTCACATGGAGGCCAGACCATGTAAGGATGGCAGGTTTCCTTCCCTAAAAGGGCATTGGTGAACGAGATAAGTTTTTACATCCTGGTAAATCTGTTCTGAACTCTCTCTAGCTTAATAATATCCTTCCTATAACTGGATGACCAGAACTGGATACAGTACTCCAAAAGAGTAGGGGAGGCATTGGCCGAGTGGTCTGTTAATCCAGAGACCAATATAACATTCTGGGGACCTGAGTTTGAATCCTACCACGGCAGATGGTAGAATTTGAATTCAGTAAATATGTGGAATTAAGAATCTAATGATGACCATGAATCCATTGCTAACTGTTGGAAAACCCATCTGGTTCACCAATGTCCTTTATGGAAGGAAACTGCCATCCTTACCTGGTCTAGCCTACATGTGACTCCAGACCCACAGCAATGTGGTTGACTCTTAACTGCCCTCTGGGCAATTAGGGATGGGCAATAATAAATGCTGCCTGGCCAGCCTTGGCCTCATCCTGTGAATGAATAAAGAAAAAAAAAAGAAGGCAGAGCACTGGTTCACAAAGACTGCGGCTAGTTTCCTGGGGAGGTACAAAGATGGAGTTTGCTGTTGTTCATGGATATGAAGCATGGGGTCTCTTGAGATGAAGGTGGAAAGAATGCGTAGAACAGAGGGGATCTGTGTTTTGAAAAAAGGACTGAAGATTGTCTCCTGTTAGCCAGCCAAAGTATACAAAAACTGGCCATTTTTTGGTTGGCAAAATTCTACAAATCGTGTGCCATAAGGATCAGTGGTAGACCTCAACTCTTTTACAATTGATATAAATGTCTTAGACGAAGGGAGCAAAGATACGGTTACTAAGTTTGCTGGTAACTCAAAGATAGATAGGAAAATAAATTATAAAGAGCATATAAAGAAGCTACAAAGGGATTATAGAAAGGTTAAGTGAGCAGACAAAGATCTGGCAAATGTAGTATAACATGCAGAAATTTGATACTATCCATTTCAGCCCTAAGACCATAGAAGAAGCATTCTATCTAAATGGTGAGAAATTTACAGAGCTGTGTGATGCAGAGGGATCTGGACGTCATAGGGACAAACAGCAAAATGTTGCATGTTAGTAAAGCAAGTCATTGGAAGGCTAATAGAATGTTTACGGAGAGGGGAACTGAATACTAAAGTAGGGAGGTTATGCTTCAGTTGTACAAGCCAGTTGAGACCACATTTAGAGTGCTGTGCACAGCGTTGCTGACCTTTATTTAAGAAAGTATATAATCTGTTAGAAACAGGTCCAAGAAGTTTTACTTGATTAACACTTGGAATGGGCGAGTTGTCTTATTAGAAAAGATTGGACTGACTAGCCTCGTACCCACTGGAGTTTAGAAAAGTAAGAAGATTGAAACATTTTGACAGGTCTTGACCATGGGTGTGGAAATTATATTTCCTCCAGAAGTAGGGATCTCAATTTAAAAGTGAGTTTGAGGCGCATGACAATTTTTTTCTGAAGGTCGTGCGTCATTGCAATTTGCTTCCCCAAGAAGTGGTGTTTAAGGAGAAGCATAGTGTTTAAATATTTTTCAGCTGCAGATGGATTCTTGGTGAGCAAGAGGATGAAAAATTATTAGACGTGGATTGGAATGTGGAGTAATCAGATCAGCCATGATCTTATTGAATGGGACAGCACGTTTGAAGGACAGAATGGCCTCCTCCTAATTCACATGCTCTCATATCTATTTCATGATATTTTTTGCAATATTTAGTGTGACAAATAGTAAATCAACCCTTCTTTCCAACTAGCCCCCCCACTGCACACGTGTTAGTCGGCCAATATAAACACTTCTGTTTACACAGTTGTAACATTGGAGTGCAGCCAAATGATTCTGCTTTTGCCATCAGATACAATTCTGCTGCTCCTTTGGTGCAGGAAAGAAGTTCAATGGTGCAAATAAGAGAGAAGAGTGTTCCGGAGGAGCATAACTTTGGATGCTGTCCTCAGCAGAGACTCAGCTCCTTTTGATCGTGTTTCTGGCAGGGGTTTCTTATTCTTGGACCGTTTGTTATTCAGACTTCTGCAGCAATGAAGATTTTTTTTGCTGTCGCCTGGGTGGGCTTCCTGTATAATGTACCACCAAGGTGGTGGAGTGTGTCCACTGTCCAAGAGGGGGAATGGATTAGACTGCTGCTTAGATCAGTTCGAAAAGCCGTCATGCCAGCTGTGATCCAGTGAGGAACCTTCTCGCTGTGGATCAGGAAGTTGTGCATTTATATCCCGCTACAGGAACCTGAACCCCAAATCTAGGCAGATGCTCCCGTAAGTACTGAAGGAGTGCAGTACTGTCGGGGGTGCTAGTGTTCATGTGAAGACACTGGGGTCTCATCTGCCCTGTCTCGTGAATGTGGCACTGAAGAGGAGAGTTCTTCCTGTATTCTATCTAGTTTTTAAACTTTCAACTAATATTAATTTATCTTGTTATTTTCATACTGCCGTTTGTGGGAGCTTTCTATGCGCAAATTGGCTGTTGCATTTCCAACAGTAACTACACATTAGATGTACAGCAAACTTTGTTTTAACTGGCTCCTCATGAACCGGCAAAACTTATACACCGGAAATACTGGAAGTTTACTCTATTATCATGATCTGAATGGTCAGTTGAGTGTGAGAGTGAGAAGGCTGTCTGCTGCTAAGTTTTATTTAAGGCAAAGTTACACTATTAAGTGATTTATGTTGTCAATAAAGTATAACAGTGATGTGTATACCCCGCATTACCTTTCTATTATGTGGTATGTGTCTTTACCTTGATTATGCGGATCTCTCGATTATCTGGAATATTTGATCAACCAGCACACTCATAGGCTGTTTGAAAAAAAAAGCTTTGGCAAATTCTGAGATTGTAAAAGGTGCTATAATAATGCAAGTCTTTTATTAAAAACGTAAAAGTGAGTGACAGCCAGGAGAGTAACGATGTTTTATGATCATGGGAATATTTCAGTTGAAGCTTTGTTGAAGTATTCTCTTGTTTCCTGTCAGAAAATGCTTATTCCCCTGTAATGCCAGCTGTGAGCTAACAGCATTTCATTCTGACCTATGTTTGGTTTTCAGTGTTGTGAAAGAAGAAATCTCTGATGACAATGCAAAGCTGCCTTGCTTCAACGGGAGGGTTGTATCTTGGGTAAGTACTGAAAACAGCAGCACTGTCAGAGGATCTTGTTCAGAGTCTGTAGTGGTTTTTCCACCGGCTTGGAGTCAGAGTCATACAACACGGAAACAGACCCTTCAGTCCGTGACTACCATAATCCCAAACTAAACTAGTCCCACCTGCCCGCTCCTGTCCCATATCTCTCCAAACCTTTCCTATTCATGTATCTATCCAAATGTCTTTTAAATGTTGTAACTGTACCATATCCACCACTTCCTCAGGAAGTTCATTCCCCACGTGAGCCACCCACTGTGTAAAGAAATTTGCCACTCTGTCTTTTTAAATCTTTCTCCTCTCACCTTAAAATTCGCCCCCGGTCTTTAAATTCCCCTCCCTAGGGAAAAGACACCTGCCGTTTACCTTATCTATACCCTCATGATTTTATACATTTCCATAAGGTCACCTCTCAACCTCCTATGCGCCGACTGGGGAGAAAAAAAGTCCCAGCCTATTCAACCTCTCCTTATAACTCAAACGTTCCATACCTGGTCAACATCCTGGTAAATCCGTTCTGAACCCTCTCTAGCTTAGTAATATCCTTCCTATAACTGGGTGACCAGAACTGGATACAGTACTCCAGAAGAGTAGGGAAGGCATTGGTCGAGTGGTATGTTAATCCAGAGACCAATATAACATTCTGGAGATCTGGGTTCGAATCCCACCACGGCAGATGGTAGAATTTGAATTCAATAAATACGTGGAATTAAGAATCTAATGATGACCATGAATCCATTGCTAATTGTTGGAAAACCCATCTAGTTCGCCAATGTCCTTTATGGAAGGAAACTGCCATCCTTACCTGGTCTGGCCTCCAAATGACTCCTGACCCCCAGCAATGTGGTTGACTCTTAACTGCCCTCTGGGCAGTTAGGGATGGACAATAATTACTGTCTGACCAACGACTCCCTCATCCTGTAAATGAATATTTAAAAAAAGAGGCTTCACAATGTCCATCCCACCCAGATCCTATCCCCATAACCCTGCATTTTCCCATGGCTAATCCACCTAACCTGAACATCTTTGGGTTGGTGAACGGAAGATTTGTGGCAGCGAGCTACCCTTACCACAAGCCGGCAATGATATGAGTACATTGAGCTTTTTTGCCTTAACCCCATTAGGATCTATTTTAAACAAACTGACCAAGCATTTGTACTAGAGGACTGCTATGTGAAGAATGCAGCTGTTCTTGAAGAGAAGAAACAAATTGAGTTCCAGATGTGTAACTTAAGATTTCCAGTGAGTTAGAAAATAAGTTTGACCATCCTGGATGTGAGATTAGGAGAATTTCCTCCTGGGAGTTTGGAGCATGAGAGAGAGATGGAAGGGTTTCAGAGAATATTTTTAAAGCAGAGGTGGATAGAATTTTGTTGGCCAGGGAAATCATCAAAGGTGATCAGGTTTAGATGGGGATCTGAAAATCGGAACAAAAGTTCAGTCTTACTGAATGGCAGAGCAGGCTCGAGGAGCCGACTGGTCTATTACTGCATCAATTTTATATGTATGATGGTCAAGAGCTTCTCTGGGATCTAAAATTTGCTAGTGTCGAGCTTTTAGCTGTGGCATCTTGAGGCCAGACACAGTCAGGCGGTGGGGGGTAGGGACCGACTGGAAATGAATCTTGACCGATTCCTGGGGTGTATGTTTGATCTTACGAGGAAAGGTTAGACTAATCAGTCCTGAGGGGTCACAACAGGATGGACATAGCAAGGATGTAACCCTTTACGGGAGTGACTTGAACAAGCAAGTATGATTCAAGCTCAAAGGATGTCCCATTTTAGATGAAGCTGAAAAGAAATATCCTTGCTGAGGCTCTCCACTCTATGGAACTCTTTCCTTCGAGCGATGGAGGCAGAGTCATGAAGTATTTTTAGGACAGGCTTACATTCTTGAGTAATATTGCAGTCAAAGGTTGTTGGGGAAGGCAGGAATGTGGAGTCAAAGCCACAATCAGATCAGTAATGTCACTACTTTGATGGCAAAGCATGTTGGAACTCAAACCAAACTTTTTCATGAACTGTCCCATGACTTCCATCTGAGATAAAAGAAATACCATGTTTCATCAATAAATGAGAAGACAAAACTTTTATTTGTTTAACCAGTTATTTGTTTAACTAGTGGGAAAACTAATTATTAATTACTAATAAGTGAACTTAAACAATACCCTCTTTAAATCTAAACACGCCCATTCGTTCACAAATAAAACAGACAGTTGCACTGTAAAGTTACAGGTAAGAAACAAGCAAAAAGGAACAAATACTGTGCACCAAGAATCCAAACCATGAGGGCGGAATGAGATCACTTTCTTATGGTTCTTTTGTTGTTTGATGATCATAGAATCGCCATAAAATAGCAGGCCTTTCAGCCCATCGAGTTCACACTGACCCTTCAAAGACCACCCCACCCAGGCCCACCCCCTTACTCCATCCCTGTAATCCTGCATTTCCCATGGCTAATCCACCTAACCTGCCTATCTTTGGACTGTGGAAAGAAACTGAAGCACCTGGAGGAAACCCACGCAGACACGGGGAGAGCATGCAAACTCCACACGGACAGTTGCCCAAGGGTGGAATCAAATTAGGGTCCCTGGTGCTGAGAGACAGTATTACTAACCACGAGCCACTGTGCGGCAATAATATCATGTTGTCGGCCACGGCGGTCCTTGAATCAGCAGCCTGTCAGTCAGACAGAGGGTTTTATTTTCTTGACTTGGGAGTTATTCCTTCAACAAACTTTTTGTGCCATTTCTTTGTGATTCTGAGAGAAGGAGAGACCTGTCTTGGGCTTGAGCTTTCTGAAGGTCTAAATGCAATTGGCATTTCTCTCAGTTCCGTGACAAACTGTGACTTAACTAGGAAAGCTTTAGTTAGGCCAGTTTTTTGTTAAACCCAAAGTGCCAACTTGTCTCTGAGTTGTGTAACCATTAAGTGAACACCATACCGTTCTACTCTTGCTTGGATTCGTTAAAATTCTTTGCAATGCAGGAGACTGCAACCTTCCACTTCCCAGTTTATATTTCCGAATCAAAATACACTTAGTCCTTGCGGGTATAGGAGCAGGTGTGGTGTGGGAGTGGGTTTGGCAGTGGGTGTGGGTACAAGAATAGGTAGGACAACAGCGTCTAAACATCCAAATAGCCCTTACAGCAATGATCTTATTGAATGGTGAAGTCTGGAGGGCAGAATGGCCTGCTCCTACTCCTGTTAATGAGTCGATCTGCCTCCCAAAGGGATTCTGAAAGGACAGAGCAAACTCCCTTTCCTCTGTTTGAAGATGGTAGCATTTGGGATTACAAATTGCTCTTTCACCCTTGATCGTTGTTTTCCACTCTGAGAACAAACAATATTAACCCAGAAACTTGCTTGATAGAGGCTGAAGCTGAGGTAAATTTATTTCTACTTCATATTGACACTATTTTCAACAATAACAAGCTTGTGTGAAAGCTGTATCTAACACCAGAGAAGCTGAGTTTGCGAAGAGAATAGGCCCTACATCTGATCTCACCAATGAAAATACCTCACAGATAAAATAATCGCAATTTATCATTCACGGAAAACAATTGAGAAGACAGCTGATTAACTTTAGTTCTGGGCCATTCAGTATTGTTCATGATTCTGCATTGGTTCCTGGCTCACCTCCATGTTGGCTCAGTTAGTCAAAGGCAGTGATGTATAGGGAGGGAAGGAGATGCCCTAGGAGCAGCTGTAGTCGAGTCTCTTCCACACTTTAATAAGATCATGGCTGATCTGATCTGATTGTAACTTCAAATCCACATTTCCCCCCATCTGTGATAACCTTTCACCCCCTTGTTTAACAGGAATCTACCTATCTCTGCCTTAAAAATATTTAAGGACTCTGCTACCAACTTCTTTTCAGGGCAAGACTTCTAAGGACTTTACGCTGTGGGAGAAACAATTTCTCTTTACTTTTGTCTTAAATGGGTATTCTCTTGGTCTTAAAAAGTGACCGTTAGTTCTAGATTCTCCCATAAGAACGTCCTTTCCCCATTCATCCTGTCAACAACCCTCAGCAACTTTATATGTTTCAATCAAATCACTTCTTACTCCAGCAGATCCTCCGTTCTGAGGAAGGGTCACTCAGCCCGAAATGTTAACCCTGATTTCTCTCCACAGATGCTGCTGAGCAGCTTTTCCAGCAATTTCTGCTTTTGTTCCAGTAGATGCAAGCCTTACCTGTCCAACCTGTACTTATAACACAACCCGTCCATTCCAGTTATCAGACTGGTACACCTCAACCTCCGATACACTTACAATCTTCCTTAAATAAGGCCAATTTGGTACGCAGTATTCCAAATGAGATCTCAACAATACCTTGTACAACTGAAGCCTAAACTCCCTGTATTTTCAATTCCCCTCACAATAAACAATAATATCCTGTTAGCTTTCATCATTACTTGCTGTACCGGCATTCAGAGCTCTGCAATCCATCACCATTTGGATAATATGCTTTTTTTTTAAATGCTTCCTGCCAAATGGACAGTTTCATATCATTATGCTCCATTTGTCACAGTTGGGCAGCTCTCTCAACCCGTCTGTATCCCTTTGTAGTCTCCTCCTGTCCTCTTCACACTTCATTTTTGCACTTATCTTTGTATCATGGGTGTGTGAGAGAGATGTGCGATTGATATTCAATTTCCTGTTAGTCACGTTCTCGAAAGGCGCAGCAGTTGGCACGATACTAAGTGAGTTGGGGCAGAGGGAAAGCTGTCAATAGCTTGCTGGAATGCAGTGGGTGAGGGGATCAGACACAGTATGCTCCTTGGAAAGCTGTGAACTCTGTGATTGCAGCAACTCTGGTATTAGTTGTGGGTACGTGGAGCATTGAGGGGTGGGTGATGGTGAAAAGGGCGCCGATAGTGTGGAAACTATACTCCTTCCAGGGAAAGACAGACTTAGCGTCAAGATAAAATAAGATGCATCTTGTGAGGGGTTGTACCACCTAAGTGCTGTCTTCCTTAGCTGTCTTGGCAGACTGCCTGTTGTTAGTGGAGGGCATATCGCAGTCTTTGTTGGGTTAAGTCACTAGGGTCCTTTATTAGTTGTCCTGGCTGAGTGCCTGTGGATGTTGTTTCCTTCAGGATACTAATTAAGGAAACAATCATTTCTCTGGGAAGCTGCTGTTGCAGAATCGAAAGTTCAGACAGTGCTTTAGACTTGCCATCTATTGTGTCGGATTAAACCGGTAGAGTTATTACAGGAAGCTGTTCCTTCAGAATGTCATTGTTCACTCCTCGCTGTGGGATCACTTTCCGTCTCATAGTTACTTTATTGAGCGCCAAGTACTCGACAGTCCAACTGGAAGGGGGCAAGGCACTTTCTACAGTCTGTGTGTCTGATGGCCATGGCTATCCTGAATGGTCCCGTCACCCCCGCCCCCCACAAAAAAAATTGGCCAGCTTGTATTGCTTATGTTTTCCTGATTAAAAGCCAAGTGTAAGTAAAACAGTGTCTGATAGAGTGGTGGAGTGCACCAGGACGCAGGTTCGGTGCCCTGCTCACTCCTGAGCAACAGGTCTGTGCCAGAGGGAAAATCCTTGCTGCCAGTAACCTGCAGGAATCCTGTCAGAGTGCGAATCAAAAAGTGGGCATCCAACAAGTGCAGGAGGGTGTGCTAACCAGGTCTAACACTAGGGGGCATGCATTTAGGGTGAACGGGGGGGAAGTTCAAAGGAGATGTGAGGGGCAAGTTTTTTTTAAAGTGTCTGGTAGGAGTCTGGAACGTGCTGCCAGGGGTCGTGGAGGAGGCAAATACGATAGGCGTGTTTAAGGGACTTTTAGATAAGCACATGAATATGCAAGGAATGGAAAGATATGGATCAAATGCAGGCAGAAGGGTTTAGTTTAATTTGGCGTCATGTTTTGGCACAACATTGTGGGCTGAAGGGTCCGTTCCTGTGTTGAACTGTTCTGTGTTCTAACCACCGAATTTTAGTGAGGACTCCTTTCCATTATCCAGATGTTAATTTTTTTTTTCCTTTCACCTTCCTGCGTCATAGTGTCACAAAATCTCAGAACTGTCCCTACACAGGAGGGCATCCAGCCTGCGTTGTTTGAACTGACTGTCGAAACATGTGATGTGCCTAGTGCCATTCTCCTGCCTTCTCCCAGTAGCCCTTTACATTCTTCCTTTTCAGATTCCCTTTCAAGCCTCAATTGACCCCGTGCCCACCATGTACTCAGGCACCGTGTTCAGGATCTGAACCGTTTGCTGCGTAGCCTTCCATTTATGCCTTCCCTCACCTCTTGCATCTGAACCCAACTTGGTGTGTGTAACTTGGTCAACAGAAACAACAGATTGCAGTTAAGCTCAATCTGATGTCCCTAGTCAAGTGAACGTGGTGTGGAATTGGATGCTGAACAATATTCAAGCTTGCTGTCTTTCCTTGGTCCGGTCATGTAACTGGTTATAATGACGGATTGGTGCGATTTGCGACCATGTCTCCAGAACATTAGCCTGGATTACTAATGACATCTACAACACTGCCTCCTCATTTTTGCTATGTTTCTCATAGTTGGTATCTGCTGAAGGCTCACAGCCAGAACCAGCACCTCACCCAGTTAGCAGTATGCCAGACGTGCCTCCTCCAATCGAACGAACAGGTGGAATTGGAGACTCCAGACCTCCCTCCTTCCAGTGAGTAAACTTGCCGGTTTATTAAGTGTCACTGAGATAGGCTACGAATGTCTTAAGTAGGCTGAAGGAATCGGAACTAAACTTTACGTATGTTGCTGATAAAGTGATATGTTGTTGATGTTTTGTATCTTTCATTTATCAGGGCAGATGCAAGAATGTCAAATTGAAAAGGGAGCAGCAAATTAGACTGCAGGTGGTAAGGGTGTCAATTGTTGGCAAGTTGACTCTGGTCAAGTCATTGCTATGGAAAATGCAGCAGGGGATTATTGCTTGTTTGTTCCGTGCTTTAATTAATGCTTTTGTTTCATTCATAAAGGTATAATGCCTGGATATGTTCCTTTTCTCCCACAGAGAGTGGTTCCTGATTGCGAATGTTATTAGTTTCTAACATGTGTAAATGTATCACGTTGTGAGCCAGACAGGAAATCTTAAATCTTTAAGACTTAAAGTATAATTCTTAGCATACTCGGGATTGTTCGGTGAGTGTTGACAAATTGTGCAGTAAATTAGACTACTTGTTCTGAGGTTTGCAAGTGTAGGCTGGGTGAGTGCAGTTAATACTTTGTTTGATATTTTCCATGCCAGTTGAAACTTAGATTTAAGTTCCTTGCTTTAATAAGTATTAATTAATGTGTAAAATAAACTCAAAATATAGAGTATTTGGTACATCTTAGAAACTGATGTTCTGAGGGTTTGTAGGATGATGTAGTGCAACTCAATTCAGTCACTTTTTGACAACCACTCACGAGGGTCTGTGTTGTTTTTTGTTCTGATGTTTTTAGCTGCAGTTTGTTGTTGTTGTGTGATTTTTTTTTTTTAACCCCCCTGTGAATGTGGCTGTGAATGGTGTTTTTTTTTCAATTTCTTGCAGTGCAAATGTGACTGGGAGTCGGGAGAATTTGGATAACGAGACCGAGACAGAATCAGTGGTGTTGTCCCGGAGAGAGAAACCGCGACGGAGAGAGAGTATGGAGCATGGTGCGTGTAAAAGCTTGTTAGCGGGCTTTAGAGGAGGGCACCTGAGAGCATGCTGTAACCTAGGTTGGCATAGACAGAAATCTGCTCTTCACACCGACATCTGAATCCAGAGCAGCGGCTGATGGGAATTTCTAAGTAAAAACTGAAAGAATTGCTGATGCTATAAATCAGGAACAGAAATTGCTGGAAAAGCTCAGCACGTCTGGCAGCATCAGTCGGAACCTTCTGAGAGTGTGCGTGTGTGTGTGTGTTTGTCTGTAGTTGGTTAGGATATGTTATTTTTTTCCCTCCGTTATTGCTTTTGTTTTGAAAAGCACTCAGTCCCCCAGTGCTCTTGATCACCAATGCGTGCGGTAAAATTTCCTCGTGTTTTTAGAGCAGGTTTGCGTGCGGCTGTTGTGACGGTTTTAAAGTGATATGCTCTGCCTCCTTCCAGGTCCCAGAGTTAATGGACACCCAAAAATGGAGCGACATCTTGCTGGTTACGAGAGCTCGTCCACACTCCTAAGCAGTGAGCTCGAAACAACAAGTTTCTGTGACTCTGACGAGGATGATGCAGCTAGCAGGTACTCCACGTAGATGCAACAACATTTTCTTTCTCTCTCTCTCTCTCTCTCTGCTTCACAGATTCATTCATTCATCGTGTTGGGTAGGCCATTTATTGCGCATCCTAGTTGGCAGTCACGAGTCCACTCCGATGGTTTTTTTTAAGCCAACAGTAGTTGCTAAAATTTTTATAAGTTTTTAAAATTGAATTCTAATTTCACTATCTGTCATGGTGGGATTCAAACTTGAGTCCTCAGTTCATTAGACTGGGATTCTAGACTATAGTCCAATGATATTACCGCTTTGGCACTGCTTCCCACTGCTGTGGCTGTCTGACTTGCCTGTCTTCTCTCCTCACTTGTACTTCCTGATCTTCATGTCCATCCTTCTTCGCATCCTTACCGAAGTTTAGGCATGTCACTGTCTCCTGAACTTCCTCACTCTCGAAGGAGCGGAGCTCTCTGGCTCTCACAACTTTTCCCATCCATTTGCAGTGTATGACATGTCAAAATTCATGCTGAGCATCCCCAAAACCTGAAAGAACTGCAGATGCTGTAAATCAGAAACTAAAATAGAAATTGCTGGCTAAGCTCAGCAGGCCTGGCAGCATCTGTGGAGAGAAAGGGGAAGGGTCCATTCTGGGGAAGGGTCATCGGACCTGAAATGTTAACTCTCATTTCTCTCCGCAGATGCTGCGCGGCCTGCTGGGCATCACTTGTCAACTACACTCGTCTCTTCTCTTCCTCTGTTATAGAACTTAGAACAGTACAGCACAGGAACAGGCCCTTTGCGTATGATGTTGTGCCAGGCATGATGCCAAATTAAACTAATCCCTTCTTCTTGCCCATGGTCCATATCCCTGTCATTCTTCCGTAAATGCCCCTATTATATCTGGCTCCACCACTACCGCTGGCAGCGCATTCCAGACTCTTACCACTCTGTGTAAAAAAAAAAAAAAAAGTAAAAAAGTGCCCCTCACATCTCCTTTGAATTTTCCTCCTCTCACCTTAAATGCATGCACTCCAGAATTAGACATTTCAACTCTGCGCAGAAGATTCTGACAGTCAACCCTATCTATGCCCCTCATCATTTTATGAATTGCTTTCAGGTCTCCCCTCAGCCTCCACCACTTCAGAACAACAGTCCTAGTTTGTCCAGCCTCCCCTTTATAGCTCATCCCCTCTAATCCAGGCCTTGTTCTCAGCCTTGGTTTTCTCTTTCAGTGGCTCCCATTCTCCTTGTTCGCCCGGTGAACCTGGCTGAGTCCACCTAATCCGTGCATGAAGAATGGATAGTTCATGGCTTTTGGGGCACCTGTGCACCCGTTTCTGTGGTGTCGGAACGGGACTGATCAGTCTCCCTGTGAGCAGTTCCCAGCCAAACACAGCTAGCTCAGCTCAGACCCAGAGAGGGAGGCGGTAGCTGTCATTAAGATACAGATCAGTTGCAATCTTGCTTCATGATGGGACAGATTTGTGGGCCTGAATAGCCGCCACCTGTTTCAGTGCTGCAAAGTCATTGCACCTGATGACAATGATACTGGATCTCCAGTGAGGGTTTCTGTTCAGAATGTCAGCTTCATTTGGAAGGGCAGGGTACCAGTGGTGCTGTGCGTGAAAGAGGCCAAGGGGCACTGTGACTGGAAGGCTGGACTAGCTGGCCTTCGTGCATTCCAAATCTGGACGATCTTCCACTGATCAGCGTAATCACGTTGAATGGTGGGCCAGGCTGAATGGCCCACGCCTGTTTTTCAGTGTTTTCTACCTGTTCGGCTGCAGTGCTCCTTGCTGTGATAGGAAGCTGAGTGACCCAGTAGGCATCTAGGCCTGACCCCTGCTCATGATCTTGACAAGAGCGACAGTTTGGAGCTCTGCATTTACTGGGCCAGGCTAGGCCAGACCAAGCCAGGAGAAGAGCCCTGAGCCCCCCTCTTCAGATCGCTGTCTGGGTACAATGTGCAAGATCATAATCAGGTTTGACCATGCTGGGCGCTGAGATTATGGTTGAAGAATGGGTGTTTGCTGAGAGGGGCACTGAGGTATCCAGGGAGCAGTATCAGGCACTCCCTGACATGTGACGCAAGAATCAGTGCTCCTGAGAGAGGGGACGCTAGAAAGGGCCAGAATGGCCTGCTTCTCCTATTTGCATCTCCCCTTGTACAGACCGCAGCTGGGGCAACTGCATTCCTGGCCACTTTTCTTAAGGGTATAGTTACATCAGAGGCAGTTCAGCAGCTTCCTGTAATGAAAGGGGAATGAACGAGGAAAGTTTGAGCAGATGGGGCTGTACTGAATGGAGTGTAGGAGACTGAGAGGTGGTCTTATTGAAATGTAAGATTTTGAGGGGTCTTTGGTACTGAGGGGATGTTGTGCTTCACAGGAGAATATAGAACCAGGGAGAGGGGCCACAATTTCAGAATGACTGGTCTCCCGTTTACGATGGATGTAATAAATTTCTCCTCATGCCAGGGTTGTTAGCCTTTGGAATTCTCCACCCCAGAGAGCAGTGGAGGCAGGATCATTGCATACATGGGGTTCTGCTATAACATGGTAGTTGTGTTCCAGCGTGACATTGCGTGATAGAAAATCGTGCTATATAAATTATGGGGCCCATGGGAAAAGCGGGGTTAGGGGCACAGAGGACACATAACAAATTCTATTTTCCAAAATTCTTCCTCACCTTTGTAGCTTCATTGTTATAGCTGCAGGTATAATGACAGTTTAGCAGACAGGTGATGCTGCAAAGAGGCAATACATTTACGAATCTGACCTTGAATTTGCAATGAATTGACAGTTGGGTTTTAAATAGAGTTCTGCCACTAGAAATCCCAGCAATGATCAGCACTGCATGATAGTGCGAGCATGTTGCAACAGAGGTGAGCAGTGCAAAATTGTGTGAGGTAGAGCTCACAGCCAGCAACCCCTCCATGAAACTCTCCTGAAATTGACACGTTGACAGCTTCTAGTTAAAATTCCCTCCTCCTCCATTTAAATGCTCATCTGACCTGACATTCCATCAGTGCAGACTTCTGGATAGATTTTCAGATAAGTGAAGCAAGGAATCTGACCATTCTTTCCTATGTAGCCCATTGACACTGAAGTTAATTGTAGGATTAAAATGCATTGTAAACTTGAGTAACATTGTATTCAAAATAGTGCTGGAAAAGAGTAGGTTGGAACACAGACAACTTTTGGTATAAATGACTTATATGAGCAATGTCAGAAATTCTTACATATTAAATATGTAACAATCGGCAAAAGTACTGTACTCAAAGGTACATATTTTAATAGCACTCATTATTTTAAACTATACTTTTTTTTTACTTATACCATCAATTTAGCATTGGAGTCCATTCTCCTATTTAAATGAGCTGCATTTTTAAATAATGCTGTATCATGTTATAGCCAACACAAGTTTGTGTTTTAGAAATAGCGTTCCCCTATTCGTCAGTTGCGTTATGGCTAATTTGCGTTGCTGGAACACGTGTTATAGGAGGACCCCCTGTACAGTCAGGGCCGAGTTAAGCAGCTTTCTGATCTTCAGGAGAATTGAGTGTTATGGACAGAAATGTGGACTAAAGGCCAAGATTAGATCATCCACGATCTTACTGAATGGTGGTCCAGGTTTGCAGGCCAACTCCTCCAATGTCTTATATCCTTGTCTTTTAGTTCCTGAAAGACTAAGAAGGCCACTTTTGGAATACTGCATTCAGTCCTGGTCTCCCTGCTTTGAGAAAGATATTGTTAAACTTGAAAGGGTTCAAAAAAGATTTACATTGATGTTGCCAGGGTTGGAGGGTTTGAGCTATAGGGAGAGACTGAATTGGCCAGGGCTGTTTTCCCTGGAGCATCGGAGGCTGAGGGGTGACCTTGTAGAGGTTTATAACATCATGAGGGGCATGGATAGGGTGAATAGCCAAGGTCTTTTCCCCAGGGTAGTGAAGTCTAAAACTGGAGGGCATAGGTGTAAGGTGAGAGGGGAAAGATTTAAAAGGGGCTTAAGGGGTAATTTTTTCATGCAGAGGGTGGTGTGTGAATGGAATGAGCTGCCAGAGGAAGTGTTGGAGGCTGGTACAAATACAACATTTAAATGACAGCTGGATATAGGTCAAATGCTGGCGAATGGGACTAGATTAATCTAGTCCATCGTTGCTGTGATCTTACACAGACCAGTGGGGAGTGAGAGCGCCTGGTGGGGAATTAACCTTACAGGTTGTTTGGATTTTATTTTAGCTGTTTGTTTATTCCCCCCACCCCCGTCTAGATTCAGCAGCTCCACAGAGCAGAGCACCAACTCCCGGATTCTGAAGCGTCACCGGCGCAGACGGAAACAGAGGCCCCCGCGACTCGAACGTGTAAGAGCGCGCGGTCACCCCCTGAGCCGTCGGTTTTGTCCTCATGGTTTTTCTCTCTGTTTCTGTTTGAATCATGAAAACTAACCCTGAGCGAGCGAGAGGGTTTCAAGCCTCTTCCTTCCTGAGAGACCCATGCTGCCTCCCCACGGCCCCAAAATCTGTAACTGCCCATTAAACAACCTGAGATTTTACCCATGCTGTCTCCCTCCCCCCACCACCCCGCCAACACCACCAATCTGTAACAGCCCGTTCAACACTCTGAGATTTTATCCATGCTCCTTCCCTGATTCCCGCAAATCAGATTGTTGCAGATTTCCATTGCTGAGAGTGAAGGGGTGCATCTGGACACATCCTACAGAGAGGGCTATTCAAATAGTCTGACTGGTGTCCACCTTTCTCCCTTTCAGCTTGCTTGTTCCAGTTGCTTTGTGAATATTTGTAATAGTCTATATCTGACCTCGCTTTTCTGTTTCTAATCCCATGCAGGCTTCCTCATTCAGCAGCGTCACTGACTCGACAATGTCCCTGAACATCATTACAGTCACATTGAACATGGGTAAGGGAATAACGGTGATCTGGAAAGCTGCTGCTAGATACAGGCTGTACAGGCTGTGCTCAAGAACCTCCAACACTGGAAACACAAACAGGACTAGACTGTTCAGCCCGTTGAACCTGGTCCACCATTCAGTCCGATCAGAGATGATCTTCACTTTCAACTGTACTTACCTACTGCCTCCACTGTTCCTCGATTCCCTGAGACACAAAGTATGTCTACCCTCGCTTAAATATGTTCAACACTCAAGCACCTGCAACCGTTTTGGGGAGGATGATTGCAAAGATTCACAACCCTCTTAAAATTATTTCCCATCTCAGTCCTAAATGATCAGCCCTTTTATACTTGGACTGTAACCTTGCCGGCTATTTCTCAACAGCAACCCCAAGCTTTAGATCCCCATCTCAGCATGTACTTTGACAGTCTGCCTCAGAATCTTTGAAACCACCTCTGATTCTAACCTCCAGGGCGCATCAGCTTGAGTCTCTTGTCCTAGGGACCAATCCAGTAAATCTTCATTATATTGGATCCAAAAAAAACAAAACTGAGGGACCAGAGCTGCACACAGTGTTCCAAGTGTGCTAGGTGCCAAGGTTTCAGTGCAGTGTGAGTGACTGTCTCTAGCGTATGCATAGAAATTTCAGCGAGAGAATGGGGTCATTTGGCTTGTGTCTGGAGCACGGAACTGAAAAGTTTGTCAGCCAAGGCTCTGGTAGCACTTGTGTGCAAAATCCAGGCTGACATTCCGTGTGCCAGTGTTCAGGGAATATCACATTGTTGAAGGTGCAGTCTGTTGGATGGGTGTCAAGCCAAGGCTCCCTAGGATGTGTAGTACCCTACAGTATAACTGAAGGAAGGTACGGGGGCTTTCACCCAGTGTCCTGGTCGATATTTGCCCCTCAAGCAAGCCACTGAAGCACCTTGATCATATATCACTTTGCTGTTTGTGGGAGATTTCTGCATGCAAATTGAGTGCTGCATTTCCCACAGTATAACAGTGATTACATTTCTCAAAGTCACAGTGGAGTAACTGCCTGAGATCATGAGCAGCTTTCTAAAAATACAGACTTTTCACTTCTCTTCAAAAACAAAAACCAATCCTATCACTGATTAAATGCAGCAGTTGAAACCTCACTTGGCTTGAACCTACCCACAATCAAAAAACAAAAGTACTGATTCTGCTTCCTTCAACTCTAGAGAAGTACAACTTCCTGGGCATCAGTATCGTCGGCCAGAGTAATGAGCGAGGGGACGGAGGGATCTACATTGGCTCAATAATGAAGGGTGGAGCAGTGGCTGCAGATGGGAGGATCGAACCTGGTGACATGCTGTTACAGGTGAGTGCAAACAGCCTCTCACGTTTTGGAAACTGAAGGTTCAGTTTCTGACATAGGCAAGGTGGATACTGCATAGTGTGCACAGGTGTAGTAAATATGAGAGCAGGGATAGCGGCATCATTTCCCCGTGTAGTTAAATGCTGCTGACATCGAACTGGAGCAGAGTTTCAAAGGCATTGGGGTCGGTCACTGTCGATGTTCATAGTTGTCCCTTACCTTCTGGCCTGGGATTAGCAATTAGCTGCACGAGCTGTTTTGCTTCACCTCTCCTACTAGCAAGGAAGCAGCATTTAAACACAGTGTACCAGCAACCCATCCCCACCAGACTGGAGATTGGAAAGAAGTCACTTTGACACAGTGCACTTGACCAACTGAGCAAATTCTCATATTTGAGACCTAATTTTCTTGCATTCCTTCTCGGGAGGGTGGTGTTGCTGGCTGGGCCAGCACTTTGTCTCCCGTCCTTACGTGGAATGAGAAGGTAGGAATGGATGTTATTGAATTGTTGCAGTCTGTCATGTAGCTGCACCCGAACTGCTTTCTGGAAGGGAGTTCCAGGATTTTGACCTTGTGATAGAGGAGTAGCAGTGATATAGTTCAAAGTCAGGATGATGTATGGCTTGAAAAGGAATTTGCAGCTGGTAGTGTTCCTGTGCATTCTCTGCCCTTGTACTTCTTTGGTGTTAGAGCTTACAGCTTTGGAAGGTGCTCTCTGAGGAGCCTTGGGTTGTTACTGCTGTGAATCTCATAGACGATCCACGCTGCTGTGACCGTCAGTGTTGATGGAAGTGAATGTTGAAGGTGGTGGACAGGGTGCCACACATACTTTGTCCTTCATGGTGTTGAGCTGCTTGAGTGTTGTCGGAGCAGTACCATCCAAGCAAGTGGGGAGTATTCCGTCTCATTGCATCTTTTGAATGGTGGACCATTTCTGGGAAGTTGGGGAAGGTGTAACTTGTCATAGAGTTTTCAGCCTCTCACCTGTCCCTGTTTCATTAGTGTCTGGATGATTGGCCAACTATGTTTCTTACATCGATAGTAGAAGATTCAGTGATTGCTAGTGCTGTTGAAAGTCAAGGTATTGAAGTGAAGAGTCAGTATCTAGTTGTGACAGATGTGAGACCTTTTTGTTGGCTGTAGAATGGTTAGTTTCGCTCGTGTCCTCTGCATCACTCACTCAAGCTCCTTCTGTCCACTTCAGGTGAATGACATCAACTTTGAGAACATGAGCAATGACGATGCTGTGCGGGTCCTGAGAGAGATCGTTCACAAGCCCGGGTAAGTGATGTTGTTGAATCATCTCTCAGCTTGAGAAATTCACTTGACCATATCTTCAGATGTGGACTGTGATGATTGTTGCTTGCTGGCCTTGCAGAAGGTGCAGTGTGGGTATGGTAGCGAGGCCAACAGGGCTGTCTTGGCCTGTATTCTCTTGTGTTGAAGATTAAGGGATGCCTGAATGGATTAAAAGAACGATAGGGCAAATAGAGGGAAATCATTTCTTCTAGGGGAACAAGTTTCAAATGTAATCGAAAGTTAAAAGCAGGCTATGCAGCAGTGATAGTAGGAACTGCAGATGCTGGAGAATCCGAGACAACAAGGTGCAGGGCTGGATGAACACAGCAGGCCAAGCAGCATCATAGGAGCAGAGAGGCTGACGTTTCGGGCCTAGACCCTTCATCAGAAAAGGGGGAGGGGAAGGGGGTTCTGAAATAAATAGGGAGAGAGTGGGAGGCGGATAGAAGAGGGATAGAGGAGAGGATAGGTGGAGAGGAAACAAACAGGTCGAAGAGGCGGGGATGGGGCCAGGAAAGGTGAGTGTAGGTAGGGAGTTAGGAAGGGGATAGGTCAGTCCAGGGAGGACGGACAGGTCAAGGGGGCGGGATGAGGTTGGTCGGTAGGAGATGGAGGTGCGGCTTG